ACCTCGAAGATTCTACCAATCGCTAAAGTAGTCAATCAAATAGCAAATACAATATTCACTCAAATAAAACACCTTGTCTGTAATGAACCATATGCTGTAAGTCGCATTATTTGAATATACAGGAATTCTGCAATTCTAAGACAGCGACGTTTTTTGTCATAAATTGATTGATATGGTATGTAAACGACAAAATGGATATTTTGACAAGGACCAAACAACCGAACTATTTCAGTACCTTCAATTGTGTCTTCACATTCTGAAATAGAAGTAAAGTGTTGCGGAAGTGACAGCGGATCAAAGTCCCTTCAGTATAATATATAACGATAATAAACTCAAAGGAGTAAACAGAAGAGGTAGGTGTCCCCATACAAGGAAACAAAGCAAGAAACAAGTTGATGATACTGGCAAGTATACAAAGAATATCAAAAAATTGAAGTGGAATATAATAAAAACACCTCAAGAACAAAATCAGAACCCAAAATTGATACGAAACATTTTACTTAAGAAAACATTGGTCAACAACTTATCTGTCGGATAACACGTCCGTGTCTTCTGTGGTCACGTCCTGAAATGGGGTCATGTGGACGAGGCAGCACGCCTGGCTCTGCGGACATCGTTCTCTGACCGGGTCACCGAGAGATAACGGACTTTGTTATGACTTTACTTTGCACTTGTCCACTGCTTCGTCAATATTTTTGCTAGTGTTTGTACACTTCTTTTAAGAAAGACGCCTGCTATTAATACTTATCCTTCCTGTTGCGATGGTGATATGATTGAATTTAAAATTACGTGATACTCAATAGGTTTTGAAAATAAAATCGGTCTCGTTTGCTATAAAACGTTTTTAACAAAAAGGACATAACCTCTGATATAATGGCATGCTTTATAACGTTATGACGGAGTCTCAACAATTCTCGGAAACGAGTCAGAGTTCCGCTGTGATAGATGCATGAGTCGAATAACGTCTTGTATTTGTCAGGGAATATGCTTTTTGTAAAAATGGTACGGGCGGAATGGATTTCCTTTTATGTTTTTGACGGTTCAAAAATTGCAGTAATACTGTTAGTCGTGTACTCTTTTAGGAGCGACATACAATGTTGTTGCTGAAAATTTGACATTACATAATTTGAAGTGAAAGGTACTGCTTTCAAAGCCATTCATCTGTTTGAACTTCGACATCTTGTCTAATAAAGTCTGTTTTTCAGATGTGAAACTTAGTTCAAATTTTCGATAAATTAATTGTCTTTATTAGGGTACCGTCAGACACGAAATGTTTGAGTAAAGGATAAGGCTGAAAAGCGTATCACCGAAAAGTACGAACAACTAAAGAAATGGACAAGACATTTCCGAAAAAAATGGATAATGTGCAGTAGTATCGTTTGCATACAGTAAACATAAAAATAATTAAGACGGCCGACAAAATAAACAATATATGTATGATTCCAGGGAGAGAGAAGATAGCTGCTGAAATGTGTCATTATCAAATAATAAGTTTCAGGAAATGACTATCATACATACATCGGCTCGAGAAAAACAAGTTTGCTGGAGAAAGGACAATCATACATCGACTTAAAAAAACAAGTTTGCAGCAGGGAATGACAATCATTATTCGGCTTAAAATGCATACATCGATTAGATATTCATAAAGACGAAAATCATCGAGCAATTGTTCATTTCCTCCCTCCATTCTGTGTGCCCGTACGTAGTGTTTTTCCCAAAGACAAAAGCACAACATATAGGAATGTGTGACTCGTGTATTTCGTGTACAAATGCGTTGGAAAAAATCCTTTGACAGTGTTGTTAGCAACACATAATGGTACATGTACAGTCATTTTCGCTCAACCACCCGGATTCGTGTCGTTACTGATTTTCTCATTTTTTACGAAGTTTTCCCAAATAATTCTTCAACATTTCTGGAGAGAAATAAGTAAGTCCAATAACTTATCCGCCTTTTAAGCATTTGACCTCTAAGAAGGACAAACAGGACTCCAGTAATTTGGGTTTCTGATTAGCCTGACTGCGACCATTAAACTTCACCAGTCTTAATACCCTCTGCATGTATCGTAAGAGGCGACTAATGCGTTAACCCCTGCAGAATTGTGGATTTGCTTTTGTGCCCTTTATTTTGGGATACAAAAGCGACCAAAATAAATCTGCTGTACCAATTCGATAGTTAGGATCTTTATGTTTCTCTCTTCTTCTAACTACCTTTAACTTCCTCTAGCGCATAGCTTGGCAATACCTCACTTCTGGCTTTCACGTTGAACGTTCGCCCAGGAGAGGAAGGCAATGGGTTCTGTCCCACTGCATATCAAAGTCTTTAAAAATGGTAGTTGTTGCTCCCTGCTTAACGTTCAGCATTTAGAAAAATGGCAACAACTCGTTCACCCTTTGTCAGTATAATGTGACCGGGCGGATTGTTTTGCTGGGTGCCTTCGGCATGTTTCGGCATCAGATCTGCGCTATCACAAGGAGGCAAGTACACCAATATACCATGTCCCGGCTTAAATACACACATGCACGCATACATGAAATACATTGAGGCATGTCCTTAAACGACCCAAGCTGTTTATAGGACGTTTAACGTTAAAACCAAACCATCAACCTGCATCTTTGGAACCCTTATTTTTAAGTTTGCCCGTCAGCAGTCGACATCTATCACGGAAGTCAAGGTATTCGGAGCAAGCTGCGGCGTGTAAAGCTTTACAATATATCCTCTTACATATGGTTATCACTCAGACATAGCTAGCTACCATTGTTCTCTATTTAATTTGCCTTCTCTACTCAATCAACATTCGGTCATCTCACACTTTCATATTTACCTAATTCCTCTTCTTTCCTAAAATGAATATTTTGTATCATGTTATCTTTTTCATATCTTCTATCATATTATCTTTTTCAAACAATGATAATAATATATTGCTGAATAATTGTCTGCGCGGTAGACTTAATGTGAAAGGGCAATTGAATGCGTTGGTGTACATTGTATATGTATTGTTTAAAAATTTAGGTAAAGAAGACGAGCGCCCGAGATAGATTGTCTGACCAAAATCTGCCACAGTATAAAGTACATAGAAAACAATGGAACTTAATGATAATGCAATAAAAACAACAGAACCAAATCATGATAACATTTTTTTAAACTGCCAGAAATCTACCCTAAATCGGAGACGAACTAAGGTGCTACGGAAAAAAATATTCAAATAAATAAATGAATAAAAACTCGAGTATGCATAAAATTCATGCAGTTATGGATATTGTCTTCTCCGACCGATAGGGTTGATATTGATATTAAAACGCTTATTACACGATAGAAAATCAAAAGTAATTATATACAGGGAATGTAAAGCATCAGTACATGATGTTTTGATTAATATAAACTTCAAAAGACCTCACTGTGATAGATACAATTACGAATCTTAACGAACGACATCGTTCAAATATAAGAATAAATAAAAAGATAATTAGCTAAAAATTAAAATATAATAAACCGTAGATTTGAAGGAGGTTTTGGTAAATCGTTTTGTCAAAGAAAATAGACACCCGACACATTAATTTATGTCATATACAGTGCATTGTTTGTATTGTTGATGATTGAACTAGATTACACTACAGAAATGGATTTATGGGTCATCCATCTGTGAACTCGGTTTTGGAATACACCACAATCACGTTATACAATGCCAAACTAAACACTGTTCAACTACGGTAGACTTGAGTGCCACCTAAAAGTGACGCGCACATATATTTTCAACTGTATTCTATTAAATTACTCTTATAAACTATTTTGGTATCATTTCTCGATCAATCTACATTTATTTCATACACGAATATTGTATATATATATTTTACATTTTTATTGACAATACTGGTAACAATTTTCTGTTTTCTACTTCCTTAAAAACCAGTAATTGTTCTTGAATTTTGATTTCTTTGACGACATTTTGACCTTAATATACAATTATAAAAATTGAACCAATACTTTTCGAAGAGGTATTTCTGCGATTATTCATTGACCAGACAAAGTAATATTGAGAAGGTTTAAATCAATTTTTGCCCTTTCTTTAAAAGATAACCCAGCAGATTTTGGTATGTTCATTTACAAAGTTAAGGTGTCTTGCTTAAGGACGTAGCTCCAACAACCGCCGTTTGCAGGACCTTTCTTTGATATAAAAGGCTGGCACACGTCTATGCGATCCTCATATTTTGTTTTTTCTGGTGATGTTCCGGATAGTGTTTAGTGGAAATTGCTGATCAATTGCTCTGCTTACCGTTCCTAGATTCTATAGATCACTTTTCAATTGGAAATTATTGCTCGGGAATGATCAGATTTCATATATGGTGCACATGCTATCTATATTGCCAAATCCAAGATGACCGCTGAGGGTCTTGCGTTGCAATGATGAGGGGAAAATAAGGTCAGACACACGGAAAACCCTTGCTGACCTGTCAGAGAACATTATATATTTCTTGTGTTCACACTAGGGTATGGTTTTCCAATCCAATTTCCCTCAAACGTAGTCTGAAAGGATTAAATGAATATTTTTATTGATATGACTTTAAAAAAAAAGTTTATGAAACGTACCTTGACAATGACTATTAAGGAACTCCTTGGGTGGATATTAAATTGATTAGCAATAAACCCCGTTTATTATGTTAATTGATTAATTGATTATTTATAAACTATTTCTGAATTATCTGAAATGAAGTGAAGAAACCCTTAAGGAGGACATCGAATAGAGTATTCAAAAATCACAAAGGAAACTAAGCAAAAACGAAACTCCTTGGAGAGGCATTTAACATAATTGAATAAACTATATCGAAAATAAAGAAAAGACGAAAACTTTTGGACGACAATAGCAGATTCTGTCTTTAACTTGGGTCTCCATGGAATTACCTTGAACTGGATACACAGTTCACGGAAATTGTGGTCTGTGTGGATCACCATAGGGTGACCTGGAATGGACGAGTGCTACAGGACTATAAAAGGTTATCTCCAGTTTGTCCTCGTCAGTTCGTTGAGGAAACAGAAAGGACTCAAAATGCACCTTGTAGCTCTTTGCGTTGTTCTCTTCGGCGTTGTCGTAGCTCTGCCAGTGGATCAGGTTTGACATTTTTATTCAATGTTTAGTTTTATGTATTTTTTATGTCAAAGTTGAAATGTTTTTGCCGTTTGTTATTTTAAATGCATTACTTTTTAATACAATGCGGTTGAAGGATGAGTTAGATAACTTTATTTATAGAGGATTAGAATTTAGGAGAACACCTACCTATCTTCTAAAAGGTCATCTATAATATGCACCTGACTCTTACGTTAAAAACATATATTACACGTAAGTATATCATCATATTTCCTACATACACGTCTCTTGAATTTGATATTTGTTATGAAAGGTTTAAGAGGAGTATTTGTCACCACCGTTGGTTTGTGGTTTCATTTATGAAGGGTTAAACGGCGATTCATATTGGTATTGAATAACTGAACGACTCGCTGAATGTGAACTTTTACGATGAAGTTGTATACATTTTGTGCAAAAGTATAAGCAATTTTGAGTTAATTATCTGAGGGTGGCCATTTGGATTCCTTGAACTCGCATTATTTGTTTTCACATGAAGAAAAAACAACGTCACCATCCCAACAGAGATATGATGGTAGTTGGATATATATTCGTTGTCAATTTCCTATTGTACTTTTAGGTATAGATTGATGAATGACTCGTTATTTAAATCATGTTTCATGTATAAGCATGTTATGTTACTGATACTGAACTGTTTTATTCACAGCAGGATTCATTTGGTAAGTAATACAGTTATTATTTAGCCTAGTTATATAAATATTGTGTGGGGTTAACTTATGTGTATCTTCTAATGAAACGCTTCATATTTTGACTATGAAACATCTTTATTACTAAATAAAATTAATAAGTAAAAATAGTGAATAAAAAATCACGTGACGTTGACGTATATATGAAATTGGTTGAGAGAAATGTATTCATATCCGAACTAATTCATAAAACTTATATTGATTTCAAAAAAACGCTGTTGTGTATTATATTATACTTAATATTATTATTTACTGTTTTACAGTCGATCTCGGTGATGACTACGATGAATCATTTTATCCCGAAGAGAATCCAGGTAAGTTTATTTATATTTAAAAAATAAAAAAATAGATTATGAGTCACTCCCATGTTCTTTTAACTATTTAAAGGTTCATCAGGGGAAATATATGTATATATTTACATTTGCATGGCATTGTCACTATATAGCCTCTATGAAAGCTGTGTCGTTGATGGGACTGTAATTAACATGCAGCACGAGACACTATTCTTAGCGTATTAATACAACACTGACCGGAACTACAATATCCAATGTAAATAAACATGACGGCTGTTGAAATATCACCGGGAATTGGGAGACTTGACAATGTAATTGTAAATCTATGTGCAAAATAAAAAATAAAATAAAAATATTTTTATTACAACAAAAACAAGACCAAGGTCTGCAATATCGTACAAAATGCACATCGGTTGAAATCACCAATGCCGGCAATGGAAACCATTTAGATCGCCTGTTTCACTGCACTGATCAACAGGGGTTCGTTACAAATGTCTGAAATACACATATTCTATAGACCTACTGACACATATGTTACAGACCTACTGATATGAATCACAGCACAGATAAACATTTCAGACATTTGTAACGAACCTCTGACCTGTGCTCCGTCTCAAGATCACTCACTCGCAGCCACGGTTACCTCAGTTTCTGATCACGACATGTCAAATTACGAGGCTGTTATAGAACCTACCGACTGTAGTCAGATTCCCATACAATCAGCAAATACATTCACGTCTGGATTCTTCACAAAATGAGTATAGAGAAACTTTCGAATTAACTTCTTCGTGGAGGTCAAGGTCGGATTCACGGTGTTCACTGTATTTATCCATGTGCAAAATTTGTTCCGGCGGAAAATCGGAACAATTTAAAATCTAACTTTCAGCTCAGATTTCTATTGATAAACTTAAGTCATCATATAGACATATCATACACAATTGTATTGATACTGAATTGTGGAATAAAATTGAGGTGTTTGTTAAAATTTCAAAGTACTACTTTGTTTGCCAATCAGCACACGACAATACGCTGTTCAAATTATTGAACGAAATTGCGTGGACTGTCGATAAGGCGGACATTTATTAATTTTAAATATGAATTATCAGTTAAAAAAAAGAGCATAAGAGGCAGAGAAAACGTAAATATAAGTATTGAACTGATTTTGTATGGTATTTATGATCTATTTGAATGACACAGCTTTGCAAGCAAACAACATAATGCGCGCTACAGTTCAATGCTTAAATATATTCTAAATGGCTTTACATAGTGAAAGATTTTTTCAGGTAAACACTATCTTAGTTAATAGCTCGCAAGTCTTATAAAATTGATAGAAGAACATGCAGGTCTATACTATTCCAAAATTAACAACGTGTGATTAAGTTTTACTATGATGCGATTTCTTAAAATATATTGTGCTAATCTCTTTCTTTTTAATGAAATGCACGTATTCTCGTTAATTTTTCAATGATTGCTGATTGCGAATTTAAGAATCTTGAGACACGTCAAAGAGAGGTGTATAAATTCGTTCCTGATCAAGTGCACGCGAATACGCAATTCAAGAAATTTGCAAAAGTATGTTTATTGCGACAAAAACATAAATCGATTTTTTTTGTAACTTAAAAAATTTATTCAGATTTTTCAAACACATACGCATGACAAATAATGAGAAACAAGTCTGCAAATTATGACAGGAAAAGATGGGTAATTGTACAGAACACTTGACTTATATTCAAGGTCACAGGGGTCAAATTTGTTTAAAATCTTTAAACGACCTCTTCTGAATAACCATGGGTACCAGGATGTTTATACTTTGCAAGTTGCATCCTGAGATGAAAGGCTATAAAATATGTTCAACATAATGACTTCGTTTGACTTTCAATCACAGGGGTGAAATGTTTTAAAAAAGATAAACAGGGTCTTTTGAATGAATTTTAATTATAAATACTGATATTTTGCCTGTAGCTTTATTTTAGATCACTTTTAAGGTTACAAGTGTGAGATTTATACCAGGTGAGCGATGCAGGCCAGTTGGGCCTATTGTTGCAAATAATCATTGCCACAGTTGGCTAGTAGATCTATGTTAACGTAACTTTTTGAAATAGCTTGTCATTTAGCCGTGGTCTGAAAATGCCTTCTGATCCAAGATAATGTTGATAAATCTATAAATGCTTTTAAATTAATCATTTTTAAACCACCGTTAAGGAAATCTTGGATAATAACTTCTCTTTTGACTTTGTCTGATAAACATAATTATGTTGTTGTACATTTTTCTGTGTGTGTACATTGTAATGTTTATATTGAGTGTTACGTTTGCTGATAATAACGCTCGCCTTTTCTACCACTTATGTATTAATATGATAGTATTTTTTGTTTTAATTTCTGTATAAGCCTAGTTATTGTTCCGAGGCCTGTATTGTTGGACCGAGGTGAAGGCCAACAGAGCAGGTCGAGAATATACGATTGTCGAGGTAGAAATTTACGAGTTTCGGGGACCGTTCGTTTTGCGCGTTATCTGTATTGGCCTTATTTTCCTGTATATGCCATGTTTTTCTATATTGAGCAACGTTTTGGAGATGTATTGCTCGGGCAAATTTCCCTGATTCTCGACAAGATCACGCTGGTGAAATACTAAAACTTATTTCCGTGATAAATTGTAACGTAAAATGTATTCGTAATTCTATCTTTACAGTGCGTTAAAATAAATATAAGTATCTTTTAATGTTTAACATTATATTTGATTCATTTAACAACGTATATTTTATACTGAAGCATGCGGTGAGATTTTTTTATCCTGAATAATTCTGTGATATTTCAACATATATATTGTTGTCTTGAACTATAGGGTAAGGCAAACATTCTCTCAGTTAATTAATGCCTTATCCTATAATTATAGAGTCATCAAACAATATGACACAATATTTACAGTCTACACGGTCATTCACTCAATAACCATTGTTCCCGTTAACTCGAGTTATCATCTCACAACCTGACTTTAGAACGTAACATAACGTAAACAACAATACAAGTGGGCGAGACACAATTATATGACGTCATCAACAGTAGATGTGGGTGGAGTTAACCATGTCTGATGCAAATTTCAGGCTGTTACTTTTATTGAACCGATCACACGTTAATGCGTTTTGAAATTGAATGTGTATCCCCCCAACTGACTAATGACTAAAATAGTTGTGAAACATCCACAGAAAAGTAATGTAAATATAAGGAATAGTTTTCTATTTTGGTCAGGTTATGTGGTGATAACACAGTTGAGCACGTTTGAATTAAATAGTTTCTAAGCAATTACACGTTTATCTAAAGTCATAGGACTGTTAATGGCATGAACAATGGTGGATGATGGATGGGATGATTTAAAATCTACCACAGACAATTTAAAAGACATAATGCGTCGAAAATTTCTTCTTCAAATAACAAATTTTGATTTCCTTGTTACAGTGCATCTAAGTAAACATTATTAATTTATCCACAAGAAAAAAATGCTTTCTCTTATAACAGGGCTATTTGAGGGCGATATTGTTCTCCGAGGAGACCAGAACCCATCTGTGAGTATAAACAAAGCTGTCAATATCTTATACGAAAAATCATACTTTCGTCAAAAATCAGTTAGTTACAGGTAATACGTCAAAGTCATTATAATTAAGACAGATATGGTGGTCCTGTCACTTATGTAATTGAGACCATATAGGAAAACATCGTTATTCTGCCAATATCTAAAACCAGTAAAAGTTTGATGTAATAAAGATGATACGATATATTTAGAGAGATGTACAGAGGATTAACAAAATATCCGTAAACTGGGGCATTTCCTGTCAGAAATATTTTCCGTACATTGTAACAATTGTGAATTAATTGCAGCACAAGAATGCCATAGTGGGATCCTACCATCACTGGCCAAATGGAGTGATTCCTTACTCTGTCCATTCATCACACAATAGTAAGTCGTTAAATTTACCTTAATTTGTTTTGAATATCTTCCGAGTGTGTCTACAAGCGATTCATATACAGCTGTAAATATTTGTATTATTATTTATCGTGATTTCGGTCGGTTTATTTATTTAATGCTCGTAAATTCCAGCTAGATACATTATCGATGCTAGCATTCCAATAATGTTATCTAGATAATTGATTCTTACGCTATTTAAACGCTATTAAAATAATTTATACAATTCATTAATTCCATTAAAATGTTTGATACAACTTGTAAAATACCATTAAATTGTGTCAGTAAACACTAATGCTGTTAAAATACTTTTAAGATATATTTACTAATGTTGTTCCAACGTTTTAAGGATGTAATGAGGAATGTTATGTTGATTAACAAAATTTAACAGGTCACGTGATATTGTAAAAAATCTAAAGGTGCAATCACCTGTGTGTGTGTAATATACACACCTTACAGATTACATAATATTCACACCTTACAGATTACATAATATACACACCTTACAGTTTACATAATATACACACCTTACAGATTACATAATATACACACCTTACAAATTACATAGCATACACACCTCACAGATTACATAATATACACACCTCACAGATTACATAATATACACACCTTACAGATTACATAACATACCGCCTTACAGATTACTTTATATGCAGACCTTACAGATTACATAATATACATACCTTACAGATTATATAATATACACACCTTACAGGTTATATAATTTACACACCTTACAGATTACATAATATACACACCTTACAGATTACATAACATACACACCTTACAGATTACATAATATACACACATTACAAATTACATAATATACACACCTTACAGATTACATAATATACACACCTTACAGATTACATAATAAACACACCTTACAGATTACATAATATACACACCTTACAGATTACATAAAATACACACCTTACAGATTACATTATATCCACACCTTACAGATTACATTATATACACATCTTACATATTATTTAATTTGAAATTAACCAGTACCCCCTTTTAATTGATTAATAAGGGGGTTTTACACACCTGCCCCTCTGTTACAACAGTAGCTAAGATAATTTGGATTTCCAACTTCTTTGCTCTTAGCATCACCGATGAGTCATAGAAGGAAGATATAGCTGTATGATGCAGTGTAATTATTGTTTGGCACACATTATCTATTGCTTAATTTAGGGGTGCAGTCATATGTGTGTATGTGCGGTAGGTTCATCTTTATGTTAGTTTGATATCAACATTGCACCAGCGCCATTCAGTGGTGTCTGTTCATATTACATTGATGCTATTTAGATGCCTGATGCTAATGAACTATGTTTTGTTTATCAGCTGCAGCACATAAGGAAATCTTCGCCAAGGCTATGGGTGAAATCATGAACAAAACTATGGTCAACGGTAAAAAATGCATATCCTTTGTTCCCCGAAGCAGTGAAAACACATACATCCAGTTTACTTCCGGATCCGGGTAAGTCTGACGTCATGCAATAGAAGTCTGTAACACAACAACCATTTGTGGTGCAGGAAATACCGATTGTCGAATGTCTTCATTTAACCTGGGTTTTTTTGTACCATTCCCGTTACCCTAATCACACTTACAAAACACTTTCGCTTTTAAAATACACATTTAAATCTGCAGTCGAGCAAATCAGAATATTTTTTAAAGGGTTCAATTAAAACTATTTGATTCTTTAATATCTAACTATTTGAGTCTGCTTTCAAGACAAAATGATCTTATTATTTCTTAAATGATAAACGAAGAATTACATCGGGTTCTAACTATCTTAAAAAAATAAACAACAATAACGCCGTGGTGGGGTGGGGGTAGGGTGTTTAACGACAACCAAACATTTAAATAATTGATAAATCACGAATTTATATCATGAAGTGAATTGTCTCCTTTACCACGATTCAGTTATTTTGACTGTTTGGGAAAAAAACGTTGAGAAAATTTTATTGTTATCACATTTTGTAGCTGGTTTATTTCTAAAACGCAATTTAATGTCAGTGCATATTTAAATAGATTTGAAATGACATTTCCTATTTAAAATTTATATACATAGCTGCCACACCCCTATCGGATACATGCACGGCCACAGGTCTGACGTCACTCTGGGACGTGGATGTTTACGTCATGGCACCGTCATGCACGAGATCTTGCACGCGCTCGGATTCTGGCATGAGCAAAGCCGAGCTGATCGTGACAACTACGTGACAATCAACTGGAATAACATTGAGCATGGTAAATCAAAGTCATGTACACAAGCAATGTTTACGTCATAAAACATGTGGTCTTCTACGAATACGTCAAATATTACTGTGTGAATACAATTACACAATCGAATGAAATTTTGATTCCAATGAAATATGGGCTATATTCTTACTATAAAAACTAACTAACAATTGAAAACCATGGCCCGGTCATCTGAAAATATTTTGAGTAATAACACCCAAGAGGTTGCGACTAACAAAGAGGAACGGAAATCGGTTGATTTCCAATTACACATTAGTTTTAGTTATATTTTGAAGTAAGTTCAATGGTTCATTTTTTCTTAAATGGCAAACTTATTTGTGTGATATATAAAACCCATTGATTGACTCCTTCCCTCAATTCGATTGGTTGAAATCCGGATGTGGAATGCGGTGCTTTAGAGATTGACTTCCATTGACTCTGTTCTCCTGCTTACAAGATTGCAAGAAGCTAGTATGCTGAAATTTACAATAAATCGAAAAAGCAACATCAAAATATCTTAATAATTATAATACAAATAAATACAGCGGTGTGTTCCACAGAAATTCCACAAACCGTTTATATTATTTATTAGGATAAGCCTTCTCGAGTTAGGTAATTTTCAATTTAAAAAATAGACAGTTGAGTTTCAGGGTTCTTCGGTCAAGGTCAAGGTCACCGTTGCTATTTTTTTTTTAAATCCTTGTCAGCGATCTAGAGGCTTTATTCCTTGAGGGATTTGGATCAAACTTCACACAATTACAAAGGACCAAAATATCTCGGACAAGTTTGAGTTTCAGGGTGGTTGGGTCAAGGTCACCGTTACTATTTTTAGAAAATCCTTGTCAGTGTTCTGGCGGCTTCATTCCTTGAGGGATCTGGATCGAACACACAATTACAAAGGAAAATAATATCTCGGACAAGTTCGAGTTTCATGGTTGTCGGGTCATGGTCAAGGTCACCGTTACTATTTTTTACAAAATCCATTGTCAGCGTTCTGACGGCTTCATTCCAAAGGACCATAATATATCATACAAGTTTGAGTTTCAGGGTTGTAGAGTTGAGGTCAAGGCCATCGTTACTATAAATACAAAATCCTGGACAAGTTGTTGAAGCCAGTGAGGGACTGATGATCGATATATTATAATCGAACATCGATCGATTTGTCCTGTTCGATTCCGATTATCGATATCAAATTTCATAATCGATATAATCGGTTCATTACTGAACTTTAGGTGTCAAATGGACATTCCTTTATTCTGATTTTTTTTTTACAATATGATTGATGGTAATGTAGAATAGAAAAATTACATTAAAATCAGTTACAAGCTAATTGTATACTTTTCATTTTCCCAAATTAACACCAAAGGGCAGCACCATTTTTATAAATCATTACAGTGTAATAGCTAGCAGGGGTCGGTAGGTGACATATATTGCTTTAGCAATACTCAGTTTGATTGTGTAACCTCTGTCTATGTGTTACAAAAAAAGTTCACTGCACATTTTGTACTGACCACAGGTCACGAGGGTAACTTCAACAAGTACGTGCTGGGACGTACCATTGACCACCTAGGTATGCCCTACGATTACGGCTCCGTCATGCACTACAGTGCCTACGCCTTCGCCGTGGACAGGAGCCAGATGACTATCATTCCTAAACAACAAGGTGTCACCATCGGTCAGCGAGTCCGACTGAGTGACCAGGACGCTAAAGAGATCCAGATTTACTATGGATGTATCCCCCGTCCCGATGGTCATGCTACGACAGCTCCACTCCACACCTCAGCCCCACACCACACATCAGCCCCAGTCGCTACCCATACGCCTATTATCACACACATTTCATCAACACCCCGTAAGTTTGATGTTGTTACTATAAATCTACTTCTCATGAACTGAATATAAAGTTTTGCATGAATTAAGTACTGAAAGATATATACAATTACATTATGTTTAATTTCGTTGATCAATATTTTCTGTTTTAGATGGAATTTATTGAAACAAATTAACAGTTTGAATGCATTAAAGAATAACGTAAAAGTTCATCAAACTATATTCTCTTCAATCAGACATCTGTGTCAGCAATGTTTTATTATCATTTTAAACTCTCTTGTTCAATCATTAATAACATACAACCACAACAGGTTTTATTAATTATTATTAGTAGCACTAAATCAACCATGAATCGTCTGTATATGGTGTAAATGTTATTAACATACCTACAGTTTATCTATGTACGACTGTCAAATTGTTTATATTCTCATATTTCGACAGATCCCGTCACAAACGGTGGTAAGTATTGGATGATACTAGCAAGGAACATTAACATAGAAAAATACCACTGAAGGATGTATGTTGCCTTATAGTAATGCTTTACTCCTTTACAAAAGAGTTTCACATGGAAAATATGAAAAATTACTTTGTGATTAATTATTTTCATTCGTTAAAATGTAACGATCCATTCGAAAAGTACACAGGTATACATGCATAAAACAATTAAGTAACGATTTTTTGATGAGGGTGATAGGTGAAAGATATCATACAACAAATAAATTGCTCAGTTTCGTGTTGTCTTTTTTTCACGGATTATCAAATATCTTGAATCATGAACATATATTATGTACTTATAAATTTTCGAAGCAATTCGATGGCCATTATATGACATTTGTCATCTGACAGTCGTGATTTATCGCGCTCAATAATCTCTTAATTACCTTCATCGTGTTACAACATAATGGTATCATTCATATTCATGTTACAAATCACTTCAACGGTCAAGGTTGCAGGCAATTTTCACAAACAGAAGTAAGCAGCAAATAACAAACTTATTCTTTAATATAAATAGTCGGATTTCCTACGAAATTTACGATTTTTTGTTGTTGTTTTTTCCTTAAATGAAGTGATTATTTCCAACTCATACTAGTGCTACTTTGTAGTTAAATGACACTCGAAGCCAACAGAATATCCGGATCGAAATTACGGAGGAAATCTTTTTCACTTACCACCGTCATAACAACATGCGAAATACAAAAAAAACAAAAATATATGAATATGTTTGTGTGTAAATGTTTGTATTAAAAGTTGATTACTTTTCCATTTTCTAATCAAATTTGATTCATACGAATTCAAGGCAAATTAAATCGATAAAATACTGCTTTTTAAATGCACTTCATAACTTAAAAGAGAATAGTTTATCAACTACATTTTCTTTTTTCCCTACAGAACCATAAGATGCCGTGCTTTTGTTATTTTGATGTGTCATGGTTTAAATCTGCAATATATTTTCTAATTTGTAAAATGTGAAGGTCAAAGGTTGGATTTTGTGTTGGGGGGGGGGGGG